CTGTGTTTTATTTCATAGCGGGCTTTGTTTGGTTTTTTCAGTTTTCTTTTATTTTTGTTAGTTTTCTATTCGTTTTTTCTTCTTTTAATTAGTGAACTTTTTTCAAATCCACAAACTTTTTTTCAAATCCATGAACTTTTTTAAGTCCATAAACCTTTTAAAAATCCATGAAAAAATCATATCCGTGAACTTTTTCCAAATTCGTGAACCAAGTGGACTTTTTTTTGCAAATTTTTAAAGTTTTTTTCAAGTGCGCAGTCTTTTTTTTGCATTTTTTTTGTTTTTTAAGTTATTTTTCTCACGCATGAACTTTCTCCAAAATCAACTATCAATCGATCAAAGGTCAACAACCAATGATCAATTTGTTGGCGGCCAAGGGGAATTGAGTCAACTTGTTAGCGGATGAAGAAGCCAACCCAGCGAACAAGGTGGTTCGCTTTTGTTGAGCGGGCCCAGACGTGCAGGGTGTGTGAGCGCTGCTTCCCTAGCCGACGCCTAAGGCGCTGGCTAGGAGGTCGGGAGCAACTAACTAAGGGTTACCACTCGAGGAGCTCCCGTTAGGGTCACTCTTGTGGTTTGGAAGTGCACCAAGTGGTGCGTCCAGCCGCCGTCACATGTTGCGTGAGGGCTCTCCCTCTAGATCTTATTTTTTATTTATTATGCATTTTCAGATATTAGATTTTTAAGTTTTTTTAGCTTTTCGGTTTTTGCCTGGCTTTCCATAGGTTTTGGAAGAAAATTTTATTTCTTTTCTGCGAAGCACATCTATGCTTCTTGAAGAAAAAAAAACCTGATTGTGTTTCTCGTGGAAGCACGATCTGTGCTTTCTTCAGAAGCACAACCTGTGCTTCCGTCATAGGCACACCTGTGCTTTGGCAAGAAGCAAATGTGTGCTTTCACTTTTGTTGAAATCATGTTGCAGTCGCGTAGTTACGGTTAATTGGTTTGTCCGGAATAGTTTCATGTATCTTGAACGGGGACTCGGGTAATTGGTTTATAGTTTCTACTACATCCTACAAAGTAAATGAAAGTTTCTAGTGTTTTGCTCGCTTTATTTTTAGAGTTTTTTTTGCTGTGAACATAATTCGGTTTTACGCATTCAAGAAAGCATAGCTGTTGGATTAGAATTCTATCACACGCGTAGTCAGATAGTTAACTATGCTTCCACTCAAAAAGAAAAAAAAACATAGACTGCGCTACGAGAAACAGAGATGTGCTTTCGCAAGAAGTAGAGCATGTGCTTCCCTGAAAAGAAAAGGAAAAAACACAGCC